ACTATAAACATTTTAATATTTTATCTACATCAATATCCTACGGTACAAAAATATACCAATTTATACATTTGTAAATGATTTTGGACATAAATACAAATGTGGTATACAATCAACGATATATCTGCTCACTGGTTAATGTGTTCAAAATAAAATCAGGTAATTAACTAATTATCTTAGATTCGAAATTGAGAAACAAACTTATAATGAGAATTGGTCAAAGTGATAAAAACATTATTTTATTGCCTTTATATTTAATCCAAAGAAAAAAAGTTTTTATATGTTAGTCCAAACTAGAAATTACGCATATATAATAATATTTATTTATATAATAATCTTTCTTTCTATAAGTAAAAAAACAAAAAAGAGTCTTTCATTATTACTTGAAGAACTAAATAAATTATATATAAACACATAAAATACATCTTAAATAATTTAAAACTTATAGTAATTATATTTAGATGCATTAATTATCTGAAATATCGTCGACGACAAAAACATATAAACTACCATACAAACCGGATCATCTGGATTAAAATAGCTAGAAGAGGAAATAAGACCAAAAATTCGATATAAACTCTTAACATTTGATAAATGATCTCATCTTCGTGATGTACCAAAAACATCGCGAAGCATAACGTTGCCGATGTACAAAACACCGCTACAACCATGAACATTACCATGATGTCCATTACAACCGATTCCTATAAATATTTAGTTACATTAGTTATTACTTAAGATTTTTTGTTTTTTTTTTCTAAACAACTTAAGATTGTTTAAAGCTAATACATATATATATATAAGTTATCGATGCATTATTCATATGTACCTTAGTCGAAAGCCGCTAATAACAAGAAGCATCAGGCTGAAGAAGGCACAAAACGAGACGAGACTCGTACTAACTATCCCATTGTAGTAGTCACGCTTCACAGGATGGTACTCGAATACAGAAGTTCCGACCATACCCTTACAACTGTTGTATGGATTTTTGGAGGCACAATTGTCACTTTACCAGACGCTGCGCGGAAGGTTGATAAGTAGCTGGCCACACATATTTGCAATCACTGGAGCCGCGATCAAAAGATGGCCTTGTGTCCTCTCCAGCTAGTCGGCCTGGCGATTGAGGTACCTTACGTACCTTGATGGTTGTTGTTGGAATCGACGAGTACCTTGTCGACTGCTTCTCACCATGGTTGATGATTCCAAGTGATGGATAACTCAGAAGAGTTTGTTTTTTTTTTATATATAGACCTACTTTCTCGAGCATATTGTTATGGGTTGGTTTCAAGATTTTAATTACTTACGTAGAAAAAACACACTTGCACAGCATGACATGTCATTGGCTTGGGGAAGAAGACACATAACAATTGTGATTTTTTCTTTGTGCATTCGTGGAGATTTATTATATACTGTCTTTTTGATCAAGATTTTATTACTTCCGTTGAAAAAACCCCACTTTAGAGCATGACATATTATTATTTGGTTGGGGAATGATGAGAAGAATTTTTCATCCAAATAAAACCTATCAAACTAATAACCTAACTCATGATTCAATTGTAGCAAGCATAGGGTTCGAACACAAGGATGAGTAGGATTTAGAGTACTAGACCATGGAAGATTTTAGTTAAGCTAAAACATCGATAAGAGTTTGGTTTGGTTGTTCTAAACTAAATGAAATTGCAATGATACGGGAAATGAACAAAACAGAAACTTGAGGTCATTGCAATGATAATGGAAAGCATAAAGTATCGGGTTAGCAACTGATGAGGAGCAATAAATTGCGGCTAATAAAGGTAGGGACTTTCAGTTTAAAGCTCAACTCTTAAGCATTGAACACTAATTCTAATCATCCCACTTTCGTG